TCAACCAGACTTCACAGTGGGGTGTTCTTTTCCTTTCCTATTTCTCCTTAAATCACCTTGTCTATCCCGCCTCAGTTTCCCCTTGTGAGAAGGCTGAGCTTTTAATCTTAAAGGTTGATGAGAAAGATCTATTTTCTTAGCTTCTTCACTGCTCGACAGTGAAGTCTCAGCCAGGGAGCTGGCTTGGCCATTAAGAGCGCTCGCTGTTCCTCCAAAGGAAGGAAGCCAGGCTCTCGGCACTCACATCAGACGGTTCTTAACCACCCGCAACTCCAGCTCCAGGAGACACAATGCTCCTTTCTGAGCTCTGTGGGCACCCTTATGTTAACACACACACACAATTTTTTTTTTTATAGTCTCAGCAGGTGTGATCTAAAGAGGAAGGAAATGCACAAAGGACCTGGGCTTGCAGATCTGGATCGTCCTTCCATGGAAATCTGGAAGACAGGGTATTAGCCGGATATCAAGCCATATAAACAATAAGAGATTATTATAGCTGATCCCAAAATTAGCACCAAGAATAACAGGGCCTTAATGGGTGTGTGACTCTCAGAGGACTGAGGACACACTGTCCCAATCACCCTGTGTCCACGCACAGCTCTGTAAGAATGGCACGCGCGCTCTACTTGGGCGCCTGTCAGAGCAGCAAGGACATCAGGTCTTGTAGCACCGCTGGCTGCACCATCTGAACTTCTAAGTTTAGGAACGAGACTCCATGGGCTGGGGGTGAGGAGAAAAGCATCCTGGTGGCTATGTACAGAGACCATTACAAGAGGGAATCCTATGGTGGGCTTGATTAATTGTGTAAGACTGCCATCACCTGCTATCACCAAGTGGGCATCAAGGGTGCCTGAGAGAGAAAGAAGGAAGCAAAGCCAAACACCATACCGTGAGGCTGCCCTTACAAATGGAACTGATCTTTGCATGGAAGAGGCTTAGGTGTCTTTTTCTCTGGTCTGAAAAGAGTTTTTAAGTTTCTTTGAACATTTTCCAAGTATAAGCAGCCTTATCTTCAAGATACATTTGAGAGTGTGGAGACTCAGGATGAATCTGACTCCTTGCCAGTCTTCCAGCTCTCCTCTCCTTGGTGGGGTAGGGCTGGACCCAGTGTGAAGAGCCACCAGCCTACATCAAAAGATACTTGTGCCCTTGACAGGGGAGTATTTGAGTGAAATTTGCTTGTCAACCTTTGCCCCGGAATGCTCCTGTCCTTTGTCCTAGGTTATCAAAATAGTGATTTCGCTTAAACTCCTGGGATATTATTACAGAGAAAGAAAACAGGACCATATGGCATTTTTGGACTGTGGGATTTTGATTCTTCTCCCCAGAGGCACAAGTGAGTAGGATAGTTGACTGTCTTCTGGGGTGCCAAGAGTCATGAAGTCTCTCAAGAGTTGGGCCCGGAATGCAGCCCCCAGTGGGACAAGGCCTTCCTTTGGTGTCTCTGTCTTCTTTTCTTCCCGTGACCTACTTATCACACAGGCGAGCAGGTGAGCACATGAACCACTCAAGGAGGACTGACAGCACAAAGAGAAGGTATTGTCCAAAGCCTTGGGTTCCAGGAAGAATAAAGCCCAACAGGCCCCACTCCAGATGAGAGCAATCATCTGTGAAAGTGGGCCACACCCCGGAGCACGAGCAATTATCCCCTGAAAGCCAGCTGTCCCTCCAAGCAATACAGAGCTATTTTAACCAAAGTGGAGGACCAGAACAGAGGAAGATCAACAACATCACAGCTTGACTGAGACTGCCCAGTTACACAAACCTTTTGTCTATTGTTTTAAACCCTTCTCTGCTTAAACCTAAAGTTCACGTCAGTCCCCAGATGAACCCCAGTGACACCGAACCACTGGGTTAGTTCCCCTTTCTGACTGTCACCATAACTCATCTCTTTAACTGGTGAATGGGAAACAGCAGCCAAGCTAAACCTGCCGGGGCTGCCAAGGCCAGGACAGGTGTTCTAAAACTTCTGCCACATTACGAGCCAAAAAGAGCCTGGCCTAATTGAACATTTCTGTTTATGTGAAATCTTACGCTTATCGTCTAAGACATTTGGTGCCATGTTAATAATATATAAACCCAAGCACAGATGATTAGCTGCACAGAAAAACAGACCACATAGTTCGTAGCTTCCATTTATGTTTATCGCCTGCTAGGCTGTAGTTACATCACATTGATGATCTGATTATTTCCTCCAGAGCACTAAGCAATCTTTAGTCTGGAGTCTGTGCCTCCACTTGTACAACCCTTGACAACAAAAGCTAGAAAAATACATCTCAAAGGTGTAGAGCTTAGGTTAATTATTTTCAGGGATTGTGCAGCCAGCCAGTGAAAGCTAAAAGACGAGGCCTGTGCAGAGTTTATGATTTTTTTTTTCTTGTGCTTAATGCTGAGCCACAGTGGGAGAAATGATGCCTTCAAAGACTAAAATTTACTGAAATATTGTTTGGAGCCATATTCCCCCACTTTTTAACTTACACTGAGACTGAACTGTGTTTCTTTTGCTTGTTTGTGTATCCAAAGGCAATCAGTCTGGACTGGACAATCAAATGATCTGTCTCACAGTCGTTAACCGACTAAATTCAAGTGAATGATTTCTTCCCAGGCTTCCCTGCAGACCTTCTTGGAACTGTGTCTCTGTGGTAGTTTAAAAGAGACAGTTACAGTTGACAGATGGGGTTTAAGCCTTCTCAGGAAATGAGAACCAGGGAGTCTAAATTTGCCTGTTTGAGCACTGGCAAGTTCTACAAGCCTTGGAACATTTTCTGGTGAGATACTGGAATTATAATGGGATCAGAATCTTCAGCGGAAGAAAGTTTTGAATACTGGTGAGGAGATTGCAGAGTTCCCTATCCCTGAGGTGACTGGGCTCACAGAAAGCAGAGTTCCCTATACCTGAGGTGATTGGGCTCACAGAAAGCAAACAAAATAGGAGCAGCTGGGAGGACTAATAGGAAGAACTTAGGCTCAAGGAAAGGGACTAGAGGGTGTCACCCACAGAAACAGCCTTTCCTGGTGTGTTTCGGACACAGCACATGTTGTTTAATGAGGTTTGAGACTCTGGGTGTCACACCACAGTCAATTCACACCAACAGGGTCTCCAATGGCTCTGCTGGAGGCCCACGAGTGGTGTATGTTATTGGTGGAACAGCCCTTATGGTGGTGTCCTTTTGGACCGCCGTGACGGTTCCATCAGACCCAGGAGAGGGGTATGGATGGCTCCAAGGAGAGTCCTATCTTCAAGGCCAGGGCCACTCATCAAACACTGTGGGAGTCTCTGGCCAGAAACAGAGAGAAAGAAGTGAGAGCAGCATGTGGGACAAAACGGGAGAGCGGAGTAGCTAAGTGGTCATCGAGTAAATTCTCCAACACTGCTTCGGAGCTGGTCCCTTTGTGGTCACCAGGAAGGATGTCAGTAGCACTAGGCAGTAGGGTGTGAACTGGGCACACAGCTCCACATTACCTGTACCAGCCAAGAGGAGCTTTTGTGTTGGTTTGGTTTGGGTTTTGTTTTGCTTTGGTTTGGTTTGCTTTGAATTCTTGAGACAGGATTTCTCTATGTAACCGCCCGGGCTGTCCTGGAACCCACTCTGTAGACCCTACTGGCCTTGAACTCACAGACAGCCACCTGCCTCTGCCTCCCTAGTGCCGGGTTTAAGGGTTTGTGCCACTACTTGGCTGTCTGGAGAGTTCTTTTCAGAGACCTTAACCCAGGAGAAGAAGAATGCTTGACTGCGTCTCATAAAAGAATTTCAGAGGCAGGCAACATGAAGCAGAGTTGGAGGGTTTTTTTTTTCACAATTTATTTCCTATTATTAACTATGTATATATATTGTGTCTGTGTGTGGGTGTGCGTATGCATATGCAAGTGCCCGCAGGAGCCAAAGGCACAAGTCAAATCCTCCTGGAGCTGGAGCTTTAGGCAGTTTCAAGTTTCCCATTGTGGGTGTCAAGAACCGAACTCGGGTCCTCTGCATCAGCAGTTAGTGCTCCTAATGATCACGCTGTCTCTCCAGCCCTAGGGTTGGAGTTTATTACTGGGAGAATTTTTAAAACATAAGCTTAAATACGAGTGTGAACAGAGACACTTAGAAAATGGACAGCACACACTCAGGTGTAGGCCTGGGCTTCCTAAGAGAGTCACAGTTCAATTAGAATTATCACAGTTCAGTTAGAATTAAGTTGTTACAACAACCACATGTAACTCTGGTGGCCTCTGAAGTTACACCCCAAGGGCTGCTAAGAGTTTTGTTTTCTCTTTCTTGGTAAATGAGCTCAGAAACCGATTCTTGAGGTGCATTGGGTAGGATTACAGCTGATATGGTAACGCCTAGGTCATAAGGCTCCCACAAGGAAGTTAAGTTACATTTTCACTATAATGAAACTTATAGTCTTATTTCTAATATTCTCAGGAAAATTCCATACTCACACCCGGGAAAGGAATTAAGTCGTACTTAAACGTCAACTATTATTGAACATAGTTTAAACATAGTTTATTGCTATTTAATAAATATATAAACAGCATAACCCCTGGTCATGGTAGCATTCTTATTGAAAAGATCTCTGTATACAAAGAATGTTGTCTCTATAGGTAACTTTTTGGTTGTTAGTTATTCTGGAATTCTGACTCTCAGCCTGTAACATGCTTCCCATGTTCTGGGTGGAGCTTGCAAAAACTGGAAAAGATCCCAAATGACCACGTTTCTCCACACTCCCTTCCAGGCTAGCTCCTACCCTAATTCCACCACAAGCAGGCCTTACTCTTCAAAGGACTTTGGAGTGAGGGGCTCCTTTCCCTCCCACAGCCCCTTTGTTTTCCCTGTCTTTCTAGCCCACCGTGACCTTTGTGCCCACTTCCTCTTGCATTCTTGGTCCTCTACTTCCTGTTGCATTTTCACTCTTGTTCCCCCTTTTAGAGCTAGCATGATGAGTATTATATAGGCAGGAACAGCATTCTGAGCGCTGCCCTGGGACTTCCTGATCCTCCTCACATATAAATACCAGGGCAGGCCAATGGGGCAGAGTGCAGTGAGCAGAAACCCTCAGGCAAGCTGAGCCTCTCTTCCAGGAGGATGAGGAACTTAGGGGCTGCCGTTTCCACCTTTATCCTTGTGGCTGTCCTTGGATCCCAGGCTGGGCTCACACATGGTAAGTTCACTGAACCCTCTCACCCAGTAGGCAAGTCTATGGGAACTGCAGAGCTGGAGAGGAGACAGAGGAGGGACCACTGCCCTCTGGAACTGCTTTCCATCCTTGACATGGTGATGGGAGTTACTAAGAAACACCATCAGGTTACAGACCTGCCTCTGTCTGCAGCCTTTAGACCCTGGAGAAAACTGGACACGGATGCGGGGTCCCATATGGGGAAACGAATATGCTTGATACATTTCTTTTAGCTGACAGGATTGTGTTAGCTCCAAAGAACTGGAGTAAAATTCTAAGTCTGAGGAGAAGCAGACTTACATGATAAAGTATCAGACACCACATCCAATAACAATCATTTTGGAGACATGAGATGAGCAAGTAATCACCTCTATCCAAGTTCTTTTAACCATGCTATTCTTTTATTTGACAAACGCATACCCAGCATTCTTATGTGCTGGACAGCTACCGTTCTGTCTTAGGGCTTCTAGCACATTGATTCCTTCTAACAAGCCTGGGGGGTAAGCATCATATTAAACAATGGAAATTTACCTTTTTCGTGGGGAAAAACAGCAGACCACTAATGATTATATGTGTATATATTGGTTTTTCGAGACAGGGTTTCTCTGTAGCTTTGGTGCCTGTCCTGGAACTAGCTCTTGTAGACCAGGCTGACCTCGAACTCACAGAGATCTGCCTGCCTCTGCCTCTCAAGTGCTGGGATTAAAAGCGTGTGCCTCCACCACCCGGCGATTTTATATATCTTTCTCTATTACTGTGATTGCTACAATTTTATAAATGAGAAAACAGAACTGTGGAAGTCATAGCTTTAAGGTTAAAGGCTAGGAAGCAGTGGACTTGGAGTAGCAGCTATCTTGGAATGGGTATAGAATGACGTGGTCATTTTTATCTTTTCTGGGTTTTGCAAGCTCCACTTATAATAGGTGAAGCATGTTACAACGTATCCACATGCCTCCTTTATGCAAGTCAGCTGACTGCACCATCTCTTGGTGTCCTGGGGGCATAATTCCTTGACCCCATGTGAATATCAAAATCCACATATTTCCTGTCCATTTTTAATCCATGCATATACTCATTTGTGCATTAAAAACTCTAGACATTTGTAAGACTTAAAACCACTTAAATGCCAGTGAGTACTCATTATATTGTTGCTTAGGGAACAAGGGCAAGGAGGAGACTCGAGGGCTTCAATTATATTTCAGGAAGAATGTCCATGGTTGGCTCTGGGTGTGGAAGCTCCAAATATGGTAAACTAGCTTTATAAAAGGGATACGCTAAGGACTCTAGGAAACAACTGCTGAATGAATTGATAATGTAATCCTTACTGCTAAAATCATTAATGTATGCTTTGATATAAGAAGTGAATACCAATTTTTCAGTTAGATTTGTTTTTATTTTCATGTATGTGTGTGTCTGAGCGTGTGCATGTACACATGTGTGCAGATGTCTTTGGAAACTGTAAGAAGTTGTTGCATACAGTATGAGCCACCTGACATGCGTGCTGAGAACTGAACTCTGGTCCTCTGTAAAAGCAGCAAGTGCTTTAACTACTGAGGCATCTCTCCAGCCACTAAATATCAACTTTCTGTTTGGTGAGGGGGCATTCAAGATAGGGCTTCTCTGTATAGCCTTGGGTGTCCTGGAACTCGCTCTGTAGACAGGCTGGCCTTGGAACTCATAGAGATCCGCCTGCCTCTGCCTCCCTAGTGCTAGTGATTAAAGGTGTGCACCACCACACCCATCTTAAATATTAACTTTTAAAACTATCTTTTCAGCTGTGATATCCTAACTTCAAATTAGAAAAGAGGGAAATGAAGGAGGAAGAAAGGAAAGGGGAAAGAAGAAAGAACAGAAGACAGGAGTGAGAGAGGGAGACAGGGAGAAAAAGGAAGAGCTGATTGAGCTGCATTTGCCTCATGTCACAAGGCAGGTTTACAATGCTTTATCCAGAATCTTTGGCACTACATGAATTTTGCAATGCAGAGTTTTGATAAGTTAATATAACACAACAATTTCACTTCTGGGTATTGATCAAAAAACTTTCAGAGTGGATATATGGAAAGACTTTGACACATTCACGTTCCTAGCAGAATTATTTGCACCACAAAGAAGGAGGAGACACTGCCTACCCATCAACAGATGAAAGGGAAAACGAAATGTGACAGGCACACTTCTGCAGGGGAGTATTCCTCAGTGTCCAGAGGGTAGGGCGTCTGGTGTGTGCAGCACAATGGATGCACACTGGGGGATGGCTCTGGTGAGTGGGATATGCCAGTCACGAAGAGACAGCACCGCCTGGTTCCAGTCACAGGCGTTACTTAAAGAAGTAGATATGTAAAGACAAAAGAGGCACATGGTGGTGCTGGCGCGAGCGGGGAAGGTGGGAGGACCATGAACCAGAGGTCAGTCTGACAGACACAGCAACACTCTGTCTTTCAGAAAAAGACCACACAGAGGAAGGGAAGTGATAATTGCTAAGCTGAGGGGGGAAGATGGGAGGTAATATTCAATGGGCTCTGAATTTCAGTTTTGCCGGCTGGAGAAGTTATGAGTGGATGGGGTGCTAGTTACACACTAGTTTGACTGTGCTTGATACCATTCAAACGGACACTAAAAATTATTTAAATGACGAAAGAGAAACAGAGAAGGGGTGGGCAGAGGGGAGTGGGGGAGGGGCTGGGAGGAGAGGAGGGAAAGGAAACTTCAGTTGGAATGTAAAAGCAAAAAATAATAGATACACAAAAGCATTTTAAAAATTTAAGAAATATATATATTTAAATGGGGCTGGCAAGATAGTTCAGTAGTAAAGACTTCTCCTGCCTTGCAAGCTTGGTGAGCTGAGTTATGTTTCCCAGATCCTACAGAAAGGCGGAAGAAGAGAACAAACTTCACAAAATGAGTTGTCTTCTGACCTCCACAGGCACACCCACATCACATCCTTCACCACACACCCCCACACACCCCCACATACACCCCTACACACACACACACACATTCCCCACACTCACTCCTCCATACCCCTACCCCCACCCCCACACGAACATACACATATACATGTGCACCCAACACACACACATACCTGCCTATTTCCTATCCTAGCTCTGATCTAGGAAACATACTGTAATCCAACAGGGTAACCGTGTTCCTATAACATATGTGTGTCTTTATACTAATGGAACAAACAGTTAGAAGGAAAAAACCTCCACTACACTGTAAAGGACTTCATACCACCAAATGGATTGCTAGAAAACTTGTTTCTAGAGCCCTGTGGATTCCAGATGTGTAGACACATGTGGCCTATCACACAATGCATGCTCAGTTAACTTATCTGTGTTAGATTTGCAGCTGGTTTTTAGTACTTCGGAATCTACAGAAAGTTTTTATTTCTCAAAATTCTTGAAGGATCACAGGGCGGGGGAAATCTCATAGCAAAAAGACACACTAGCCTAGGACAAACACCTTCGACCCAGATAGGTTAGCAGAGATCCAGCAACAGAGTCTGCCTGCCTTCGGATGGGAGAAGGGGAGTACGGCACGGTGGCACACACAGTACTGTTAGCACCCCGAAGACTGAGGCTGTATAATTGAGACTTCAAGGCCACCAAAAACTGGGATTGGAATCTGTGGTGAATGGAGGGGCTGATATAATGCTGCTACCCATGACATTCTTTCCCCACCCTGTCTGTTTCTTCTAAAAACAGCAACAAGGGAAAGGAGGGTCATTCATCGCATTGAACCTCACGAACCTCACGCAGTTTACCAAGGTAAGTGAGCAGACACAGCATATTTTAAAGAATTGGGTGGATACTGTACTGCAGCTTCACTTTTCCTACTGATGGAACAAGATGGGAGGGCCCTGAGGATGGTGAGCATCTCTGGGAAGAGTAGCAAGGCCGTGGGGACTCACTCACTTCTCTACGTGTGCCTGGGCGTCCTGAACCCAGCTGTTAGAGCAGAAGCATGTCCCCAGTTCTGGGCCTTCTCACCACCTGTGGGGCTCCCCACCCCCACAGGACTCTTGAGAGCAACGACTTGGCACTTGAGTGGGCCTTTGTCCTCCCACAGGCATTGGAGACGCTCCAGACTGTTGCGTCTCCTACGCCTCACGGATCCCGTGCTCAAGATTTGTATATTATTTTCCAACCAGTGGTGGGTGCAACAATCCAGGCATCATGTAAGTGTCCAACTCACCTCCTGGAGGGGAGTCTTTGGGTTCTTAGATGACCTAGTGAGTAGGCTTGCAGGAAAGGGCCATCCTTGGATCTCGCCAGGTAAGGGGGAGGAGATCAGGGTGTAGAGAAGGAGACAGTAGGCTGGCGTCTGCCTAGAGAATCTCGGGCCTAAAGACAGTCCTTGAGTGGGGTGATGCTGAGCCTTCTCCTGTAAAGAACAGACTGTAGAGTAGAAAATTAGAGGGTCCAGAGAATAGGGCTCCCCTTCCCTATTTACTAGAGACCACTGTTTGTAATCTTCCTTCCCCTTTCTCTCCAGATTTGTCTCCAAGAGGGGGATCCGGGTCTGTGCCGACCCCCATGATCAGCGAGTTCAGGAATGCATAAGACGGCTGAAGCAAATCCTGGGACCTGGGAGCACAGCCATAGCTTGAGGAGGCCTTATACTGTCAGTCACTTCTTCCTGTCATTCCCAGCGGCCACCTAGGAGGCTCTAAGCATTTATTTTTTTAGATGTTTAAAACGTTCATTCTGCTTTTCTGGTTGAAAGCAGCTCGTGTAGTATTTATATGGACTTTTTTTGTTGTTTTTTGCATAATTCCTCAGCAGACCATAAACAGATAAACTATTAGAGTGGCCTCTGGGGGCTTCGGAATGTGTCTGGCTCTGATACTAACTTAAGCCACGTACATCAAGCCAATATGAAATGGGTTTTGCCCTAGCCCATACACATATTCAACTTTGTGAGGGCCCAGCTGTTTTTCTACCACCCTAGAGCAATAAGCATCACCCTCACCCCCAAAAAATAAAGTGCATCCATGTAGCCGCAGATCTGTCTGTCTGTCTTTCTGCAGGTTCACAGAATTATGGGGCCAGTCTGAAATTGGGCTGTTGGGGAGAAAATATCACACTCACTCACCTTGAACTTCCAAGGGAAATCATGTAACTTTGGGTATTTTCTTCAAAACCAAAGACATGTTGTTATAATTTTTAAATTTCTGAGAACACAGCTTATTCCAATGTAGAAGATATCAAAGATATATTTCACCTATTATTGAGGGAGCCATTAAATTGGCTAAAATGTCTTTGGGTTTTATCCCTGTTTGGTGGAGTTAAGGAATGTTAGGGGTCTCTGAGAAGCCGAGGTACAAAGGCAGGATCAGCCATGAACCCAGGCCTTCCCTTTAACTGCTATTGTAGTCTTTGTATTGCTATAATGTATTAGATTATGCTATGATGAAATATGCATTTGTAAGTAAAGTGGATGACTAGAGGCTACCTCTATATAAGCAAGTCAAGTGGAGAATCAGAGTAAGAAAAGAAATGCCCTTTAACCCAGAGGGAAAGCTAAGAGGCACTTCAGAGCCATGGAAGGGAATGAAAGGATGGGGGGCCGGAAATACCCCCCCACGTGCAGAGAAGTAACTGATGAATACAGTCTAAGTCATGCTGTTCCCCAGTGGGAGGAGAAGACAGCTTCCAGTCACAGGACAAGCCTGCACCTCTCATGAGGCTCAGAGACAGTTGCAGGTTTTGCTAAGACAATAGTCCCTCATTTGGATGGGTCAGCGGTGGAGAGAAACACCATCTGTTCACCCGCCTGAGTAGGAGGGCAGCAGCCAGCCAGGTGCCCTCTTGGGATAAAACTCTACTGTTCAAAACCGAGCTGTTCTGGGGGCCCGAGACTAGGGGACAGCTACCAGTTGGGGAGTCATAACTTGGCTCACAACCTCTAGTGAGGGAAGTTATTGGGCTGTGGAAGGCTGGAGGGCTAGACACTGGTGAACTGAAGATTCAAGTCACAAGTTAGCTCAGGCTGAGACAAGCATAAGAGCAATAACCCTTCCCTCAGTGACCAGGAACAGATCCCATCAACTGAGAATAATCCTGGGTTTGAAGTTCTGAGCCTGAAGCAGGTGATCAGACCAAATCCTAGAGCCGGCTGTTGTTCACTGCCATAAAGCCCAAGACCTCTGAAGTTCCAAGAGCATACAAGATACCTACACACTGACAAAAGGCAACGCAGGGGAGGAAATGTTCTGTTTCAGCTTACGATCCAAGTCACAGTCCACCACCACAGCAGGGGAGTCACTGCGGCAAGAGTCTGCACGTCCACAGCCAAGGACAGAGAGAAATAAATGCATGCATGTTCATTCCTTGCTTGTATTACTATTCATCCAGCTTCCCCTACTCTGACACAGTCCAGGGCCCGGCACCTGAAATGGTGCCATCCACATACAGGATGGGTCTTCCCACCTTCGTTAACAACCAAGACAATTTCCCAAACACGTGCCCAAGGATCAACCTTATCTAGATAATTCCTTATTAAGACCCTCGTCCCCGGCAACTCGAAGCTATGGCATGTTGCCAGCTAAAGTAACTGACACAATACCCACAGGGGCATTCCCCCAGCAGAGTGATTCATACTCAAGAGGTCTTGAAAGTATGAAGACAGGTCCTCCGCTTAAACCAACCTCAGTGTTGTGGTTTCCTTCCACATTCCCAACTCATTTGGGAAACACCCTCCAGATAAAGTATAAACCACGCCAGGGTTACAATCTGGCAAGTCGTAGAAGGATGAGAGAGTCTGCCCAGACCACAGAAGGAAACCTAGGAGGCCCACAGAACTCTGTTCTGCAAAGAGTGGGACCTGAAAAAGCAAAAGACGGTGCAAAAGGACACACCTGTCCAGTGCAGGTACAGTACAGGATGTCACACACCTGTCCAGTGCAGGTACAGTACAGGATGTCATACACCTGTCCAGTGCAGGTACAGTACAGGATGTCACATGCCTGTCCAGTGCAGACTCAGTACAGGATGTCACACGCCTGTCCAGTGCAGGTACAGTACAGTGGTGCCCAGACGTGGATAACTGAATCCACAAAAAGCTTGAGAAAGCTTGGGAAGGAATAGAGTAAAGCATGCTTTCTTGGTGGCAGCAATTTCTCGGGTCTGCTCTGCTTGCTAGAGAAGCCTCATCTAAGAGAGGCTTCCTGACTCAGCTTTAGCTGCAAAACCCTGCAGCTCTTTCAAGAGGTCCTGCCACGAAACACTTAAACGGTGTTGATGAAAAGCTGAAGGCATGCTTTTCGGCTTTCAGCCATAACAGGAAAAAAGCTGCACTGTTTTAAAATGCCGGCTTTCTGGGCAGTCCTGCCAGGACAAACTCTGACTCTTGCAGGCAGGCAGTCCGACTGATTTATGGTCTGTGAGCAGAATGCTGCAGCTTGCTTGCTGGCAGGGACCTTGAAACACTGTAGAGTTATGATCATGAAAATGGCTCTGGCGGTACCTCTGCCATGAGGCTGGAAAGCTACAGAATGAGTTGGATCTAGTCGTCAAAGCCACGGCTTTATTCCTCTCCATAAAGACTCATGTGGTCAGAAAAAGAGAGATAAACAGAAAAGAAAGATTCAAAGTTGAAGAAAACCTCTAAATGGTTTACTATATGTTAAAAATATATGCAGGCTAAAAGTTAAAGTTCTTAAAGTTAAAAAGAAAGAGAGTAGTTGGGTATGGCGGTACACACCTTTAATCCCAATGCCTGCGAGGCAGAGGTAGGTTGACCTCTGTGGTTTCAAGGGGCAGAGGTAGATTGACCTCTGTGACTTCAAGGTGTGGTAGCACACACCTTTAGTCCCAATGCCTGGGAGGCAGAGACAGACAGATCTCTGTGAGTTCAAGGTGTGGTAGCACATGCCTTTAATCCCAGCACTGGGGAGGCAGAGACCGTGGGGATCTCTGTGAGTTCAAGGACAGCCTGGTCTACAGAGTTATTCCAGGACAAAGATATACACTGTCTCAAAAAATAAAAGTAAAAATAAGAGAAATAGAGGTTAAAATAAAGCCACGTAAAGATGAAAAATACATGGAGAATCTTCATACTATATGTTATTATGCTCTCTTTGAATTGTTTGAGTGCTGAGGAAGGAGCAACAGTTGCTAAAAGACTTTTGTTTATAAATGCTGCTGAACTAATCCAAGATAGGTATTTTGAAAAACCTTGGCTTCAAAACTGAAGTCAAAAGGTATGTTACTTTGTAGAAGAGATTTTGCTTTTGTTTCCACTGAAAATGAGAGAATTGTGGATTCATTCTGAGTTAAGAAAAATCCAATATGATCAAGGAAGACCACCTGAGAAATCTCCAGTAGGAACAGATGTTCCATCTTGAACTGGATTCAAGATGTTGCCTGAGATGATCAAGACTCACAGGATACTCCAGACAGAACTTGATTATAACTCTAAATTTTCTTTAAGTCCCCATAAGATTATCAATGCCCCCAACCAGCTGGAAGTAGCCTGGAATACTACGTCCACATTCCCAAAAAATGGACTATGGGTATTTTCCTTTGTTAAAAAAAAAAAAGAGGGGGAAATGGTGTAGGAGAATTATCTGTATTCTGTCAATCATGTATTTTAATAAAATGCTGATTGGCCAGGCAGGAAGTATAGGTGGGAAAACCAGACAGGAAGTAGGGGTGGAGCAAAGAGAATAGGAGTATTCCAGGAAGCAGGAAGCTCCCTCTCCAGTTCTGCCCAGACCACCAGAGAGGAAAGATGTAAGCTGCCATGCTGAGAAAGGTACTGAGTCGTGTGGCTAACATAGATAATGATAATGGATTAATATAAGTTACAAGGACTAATAAGAAGCCTGACCTAATGGGCCAATCAGCTTTATAACTTATAGAGATCTCTGTGTGATTGATTCTCTGGGACTTGCCGGTTGTGGGGTACTGGGCAGGGACAGAAACCCCAACAAGCTGGCCCTCATGCTACAGTACAGGATGTCACACGCCTGTCCAGTGCAGACTCAGTACAGGATGTCACACGCCTATCCAGTGCAGGTACAGTACAAGATGTCACATGCCTGTCCAGTGCAGACTCAGTGCAGGATGTCACATGCCTGTCACACGCCTGTCCAGTGCAGACTCAGTACAGGATGTCACACGCCTGTCCAGTGCAGACTTAATACCAGCATAAACCATAGGAAATACAAGAGTCTACAGTTCAACTGGTCCTCTCCCTTCTCCATGCATAAAAGGAGGATCTCAAGAGAACACAAACATCTGAATTGATAAGGAACATGATGCATGATATGAAAGAGAAATTCAGCAGGACATAGGAACACTGAAGAAAACCATGGTGAACTACTGGGAATGCAAAGTGCAATGAGTCAGATTAGAAGTTCTACAGAAAGTCTCACCAATAAAATCAGTAGAATGGAAGGACAGCACATCCGAGCTTGAAGGTAAGGTACAAGGCAAAGATGAATTAATGAAAAGATACGAGCTGGACTTTCAAGCCATTGGGGACACTGGGAGAAGATGAAATACAAGAATCACAGGTGTAAAAGAGGGTGAAGAACCCCTTTCCAAATGCACAGAAAACATTTCCAGTGAAATCCTGGCACAGAACCGTTTATTCAGACAGAGGAGGTGTCTAGAACACCAATACACCAGGCCTGAACTTCTTGTCACATCACGATTAAACAACTATTGTTCCCAGCAAAAACTATGTAAGAAACAGCAAGAAATAAACATCACATCACATATCACGACAGGCCCATCAGAATAACAGAATTTTTAACACAGATTTTAAAGACCAGAAGAGCTTGGTAGGGCGTTCTTCAAGTTTCTGAAGACATGAACCTCCAGCCCAGACCAATATCGCCAACAAAGTGTTCAATCGTAGTTTAAGAAAGAAAATCCATCCCATGATAGAAATAGGCTTCTGACCTCAGAAGGCCGAACCTGGGTCCTCCACAAAAGCAAAAAGCACTCTCAGCCGATGAGCTCTCTCTCTCTCTAGTCCTCTCTTCCTGTTTTATT